CACTGGGCTAAGCTAATGAGCTTCTCTGCAAGATTTTTCAGGGCCTTTACTGTGCCGAGTGTACTGTGAGTCTCCAACTCACTTTTTAGAATTCCTGGTGGTTTATGGGACTATTTTATGTTTTTCCCTCAAGTGAAGGACAATATCTCTTCTGATCAGTTTCATTTGTAAGATTCTATAGTTTATTTTGCCTTCTTTGAATTTCCTATGATTGTAGAACCTTTCTATTCTTTCTCCATCCTTATTTGGAGAAAGTCATTTATATTTATTTAAAATAGTATGTTATGGAGAATATTAAACAGTGAAGAGGATAATGTAATGGACTTCCTTTTACCATCAATCATCTTCAACAATCATCAACAATTACCAACTCAATGCTAATTTTTGCTTTATCCATTCCCCTAATACCCACAAAACTAGTCTCATTTAAAGTAATTCTCAGACATTGTGTCATTTAACTGGAAAATGTTTTGGTATGATTCTCTAAGATATAAGAACTTAAAAATACATCCATATTTCCTTTATCACACACTATTTCTATCAGCATTAATTTCTTAATTTCTCAAATATCTGGATTTCAAATTACATCCATAGCTCATATTTTTTTATACTTAAACAAATCAGGATCTACCTAATGTACAAATAATTAACTGGCTTGTGTATCTCTTATATCTCTTTCAATCTATAGGTCACTCTTCTGCTTTTACATTTTTACTCTTGTATTTTATATGTTGAAGAAGTTATGCTATTTGTCCTGCACAGTGTCCCACATTCTGGATTTTGCAGCGTGCACTCCCTAGTTTTAACATGTTATGCTGTCCTCTGTTCCTGTTAATTAGTAGTTAGCTCACAAAACTTCATTATATTCAGAATGTCTCCTTTTTTCCTTCCTTCCTTCCTCCCTTCCTTCCTTCCTTCCTTCCTTCCTTCCTTCCTTCCTTCCTTCCTTCCTTCCTACCTTTGCTTTCCTTTTTGGCAAGAACACTTGACATATATCTTGTGTTTGTTGTCACTCTTTTGGTAATGTTAGTAATGATTGATACTCATTGCTTAGCTTCATTACTTAGTAGGAGCTGCAAAATTGAATGGCTCTGATTCTGTCATCCGTTCTTCATTTATTTGTAGTGGGACTGCATCAAGTTATATTTATAAATTAATCTAGAGAGAATCAGCATCTTTATAATATTAACCCTTTCTCTCTAAAAATGCAGTATATCTTTCCATTTGTTTAAGTGTAATTATGTGACTTTCCAGAGCATTTTACAGATTCTCTCACTTCAGGCTGTTTACTCATTTTTAACAATGTTTTCTTCCATCTGTCTTCTGAAAAGGTGTTTTAAAAATATATAAAAGTCATTGGTTTTACATGCAGATTTTACAACTTTAACAAGTTCTCTCATTGTTTTCGTTCATTCGTTTTCTTAATGTATAATCATCTCTGGAAGTAGAAATATTTTTACCATACCTTTCTACTTTTTGCCTTGAATTGCTTTCTCTTTTCTAACAACAGTGGCATTGCAATGTGTAAGAAGGTACCCTTTTTTATCATCTTTGTACTTATCAAGCATTATAAACTGGAATTCACTGCATAATGCTGAAGAGTCAACTGGAGAGGCTTTCCTTTGAATGGCTTAGGAGATATCCTTACAGTGCTAGAGATCAACTTCACATAATAAAAGAGAGTTTATAAAGTTTATATTACCTAACAGGAAGTAAGCTGATAATAATGTAATTACTTAATCAAGGTAATAAATGCAGAGCCTCTCCATAGGTACTTAGGTACTTCAGGACTCAATTTTTAGCATGCCCTTCTCCACTGAATCATCAGAGTAATGATGACAGATATGGTGTTTGTTACTCTAAATAGGGTGTTTATTATAATGTATGAAATAGCTCAAAGTAAAAGTTATTTATTAAGAGTCAAAGAAAATGGGATTAATACTTCCTATGAGCTGAAACAAATTATTATCTAAAGGATCACAGCCATTCATCTAATCTTTTAGAGCAGTGGTTCCCAACATGGGGCACATACCATAAGGGGGCAATTTGACTTTTAAGGGGGGCAATTCAAGATGAGTTATTAACAGTGAATATTTTTCATTCCTCATGGTTCTAGGGGCCTTGTATATAGTATGTAAATACATATTGTGACATATTTATGGATTTTAGTTCTCTATCATATGTTTTGAAACTTTATTTGCTATTCTGTGATATTACTTCATATTATTATTTTTTAACAATTTTCTTAGTGATTTCTTCCTCAGTACTTCAACTGGCCTTTTGTTCTTTTATTTTTCTCTTCCATGGATGCCATGTTCTTTGAAAGCTTGTTTAGACCAAGTTAATGGCCTTTTAGGCTTCCTCCACATGAATAGGAGCTCACTTTTTGAATAATAAGAATTACATGTCACAGGGGGGCATCAGGATTTTAGAGATGCTTAGGTGGGGTGTGGCCAAAAAAGGTTGGAAACCATTGTTTTAGAGCTACTTGAGGGTACCAAGGTTGGAGAAGCTGATGGTTTAATATGCTTATTATATCTCCTCCAATTTGTCCCTTTTCTAAACATCTGTTAAGTTTCTTATGGAGGAACACTTGTCAAGAACTACATACATTTATTCTTCAGCAAGGAGAACAACTAGGAAATACACTGTGAAGATATTTTTCATGAGTTTATATGTAAAATTTCAATTTAGAACACAGTTGTTAAACTTCTAGTATATACAAAATGCTGCATCAAATACAACTTCAACCCTGTAGAAGTTGACATCCCAATGAACATCTCAGAGATGGGTCAAAAGCTTAAAACTGAATAAAACTAAACACAAAGGCAATAATATTTGTCTGGGCTTGAGTCTGAATATAATATCGGTTTATTAAGAATTTCTTTGAAAGTTTCCAATGGAATAAAAAAATAAGAAAGTTCACAATCTATTAGCAACTCAAGAAACTAGAATGTATCATTCAAATCAATGGCCTTTAAAAAGTTTCCAGGCAAATTTAGGAATTTACTAAGTCCACTGTAAATGACTTGGGATTCATCACTAAGAAAACGATTTTATACTTCTAAATGGCTTCTAGTTACTATTGTGTACAATAGCAAAGCACACCTGCTAAGAAAAGGTATCTACATTTTAAAAATATTAATTTGTCTAAGAATTGGTCTTTCAATTTTATCCATAAATGTCTAAAACTACCTTTTGCTTTTTAATAGAGATTCATTTTTAGGATTTGGGAAAAAATGTCATTCCTTGTTATATAAAAATCTCAGGTTGTGAATCTATTCTAAAACATATTATTCAAATATTTACCAGAATGAACGAATAATTCAGGATATACGTAATTATCATGAAATGAGATGTTTAATAAGAAAATAACATAAATGTTTTGTAAATATCAGTTACCAGCACAGTCTTGATAGATGACTGTGTTGGGGTGTAAAGCAGGGTGCTGAGAGCATGGCTCCAAGTAGAGGCCTTAACAGCATTTCACCTGTGACTTCTACATGTTAGCATGTGATGGAGAATCCAGAGTCTCATCACAGACATGAAAGTGTGTAAGTTTTCTAAGGTTTAAATGTGAGGAATCGATATGGCTGCCAGTTACCATTCAAACACTTCACTGAGAAGTACATCACATATTGGCATTAACTGATCATGCTTTCAACTGCTCTCTTCCTTATTTTCATCACCGTTTTTCTTATTAAAAGCAACAAATAAGCACAACCATGAAGTCCTCTTTTTTCTATGAATCCATGGATACAAAAGTATGAAAAGAGAAAAATATCTATGGTCTTCAGCTTATTTCATTCTAGGTTTTTTGGAATGTTTTCTAAAAAACATGATTCATGATGACTCACTCTGGATTAAGTAAGTAAGTATGATTTAGGATGTACTCACAGGATGCTGTATCATCTTTTTAAGGAAAAAAAAAATATAGCTGAATTTTAAAAGTTTTTCCGGTGTTCCCATTTACAACAGTAAGGATTGCTATCCACCATTTCTTGAACAGGTACAGTGAGCCAGAAAACATCAGGATCTCTAAAACAGTAATCTTGTTTAATCTCACAATTGTGTAAATCTAGAAGAATTCTAATTTTACAGAATACGAAATCCAAGCTCATTATAGACCCTTCATCTCGGCCCAGAAGCTTTGCTAATAGAAGTCACAGAACGAGGTTTCAGACTCACTCTATTTAATTCCTTGTCCAGTGTCCTTTACCACCCCATCATCTAGTTTAAAGGACAGCTGCACATGTTATGCAATTATTAGCAGTTATCCCTAAACACTGGGGAGTTGTAATTCTTCGTGTACAGCTTGGTTTTCTACCTTTCCACTTGTATCTTTTTTCAGGTTTATTTTCCTTACTCTGCCTGGTAAGGTAAATTCTATTTCTACTCTCTTCTTTAACACTTAATTTTTAGATATATTTAACTTGATCAAACTATTTATCCAGTACTATTAAGATACATAAACAAATTAGTGCCTTTCAAGGTGCCCTAAATTGTAAATGTATTAAAAATAATCAATGCCTCTTTAATCTATTTCCATGAGTTTGACATAGTCATATGTATGCATGTCACGTAAAGATGAACCTACAAATAACAGCATTTAGCATAAGAGAGTATTTCCATTCTGATTTTTTGGCCAAGCTTTCTGAAGATCTTTGCCCTGATTTCAAATACAGATGCCCTCCGTCTGTCTCTCTGACCTACTTGAAACAGCATAAGCACAACTCAGCGCTTCATCAAGCATTGTCTTTCAAAACAAGTGCCTCTGTTTCAAAAATACGATTATGCCAGTTGCTTACAAGATCACACAAAAAACCATAAACTGTCAACAAAGCAGGGACATTAATTTTAAAACAGAATGGCAAAGTACTTCTTTTAATTATGTATTTGAAAGCAATTATGCAAATAGTCTCTAATGAATTAAAAACAGCCAACTGATTAGAGGGGGAAAACATTATAAAGTTTATCAAATTCCAAAAACAAACACTTACTTGTTCAAATTCATTCTTTTGAAATTCTTCAAAACCAAAGATGTCCAATATTCCGATATGCAAAGTCTGCATGCTGAAATGAGCAATGAAACAGTGAGTAGGCATCCTTCAAGCTCTTACAGGACCCCCTGCCCCTTGCCACTTCAGAACAGAGAAATCTGGCCACTTAGCATAACCCTGCTAATTTGAAGTACCAGCATGCAAATAATTACCGAAGAGTTCGATGAAAAACTCTGAAAATTAGAGGGGAAAGTGCTATTTTAATGCCTTGATTCAAACAGAGAACATTAAAAGAAATTGATTTCTAAGTTTAAAATATAAAAATACATGGGGTGGCTTAATATTTGCTTTTCTGAAACAGTCCTGTGTCTTTTCTAGATTTCCTTTCTCTAAAGGTATTTGTGCCCACCTGCTAAATGGCTCTCATCTGCTAATACTTTATCTTGTTAGGTTACACAAGCAGGAATCAAGCAATTTCTTCATCACACATAGGTACAATATGAGGTAAATGATAAGCCACATGCTTATTCTTTGATAGATTAAATTCAGCCTCTTCAAAATTCATATTATGATCTTCCTAAAGGAATTTTTACGAATAAAGAAGAAGAAAGAACATGCAACTTGGTTGTAAAATTGAAAGAAATCAACCAAGTACCTTGTGGTACTTTTTCCTTGCCAATGTAAACTACACTGGAATTTGCCACAGTCTTGGACGGTTAAAATCACAGATGTTGGAACCCTCGTAGAGAGTGAGGAAAGAAGGAAGAAAACCTGGTTGGTGACAGCAGCCCTGACAACCTGGCTTCTGTGAGCAGTGTGGTGGCAGCACGAAGGAATGTGCATGAGGATTCTCCTTGCAAAGAAAGCCCTCCATGATGGATGATGATTCTGGAATGCTGGTGGCCAGGAGGGCACACCCCCACCCCTTCCACATCGCTGGTCCAGAGCATTGGGGCCCCTGTTCTCCTCCTTTTCTGCCAGTGGGTGTGCTATCTCGTCATCATCATGGTGACTATCATTCAATACCACCATCCTTGCTCATGCAGACTTTGGTGGTTTTCTCTCCACTCGATTTGTCCAAACTACAGAAGCACATTGGCAATGGACTCATTTGTATCTGGATTTTGTTTTCACAATCAGAACATAATCATAATCCTTTCTGAAAGTGGTTCTCAACCTGCCTAATGCCACAACCCTTTAATACAGTTCCTCATGTTGTGGTGACCCCCAACCATAAAATTATTTTCGTTGCTACTTCATAACTATAATTTTGCTACTGTTATGAATCGTAATGTAAATATCTGATATGCAGGATGTATTTTCATTGTTCGCGACCCACAGGTTGAGAACCGCTGCTTTAGGGTCTATGTCACTTAAATGACCTTTTTTTAAAAAAAAGAAAAATAAGGTAGAGTATTGATTATGTGATATCCTACTGCTAAGATGATTTGTTGTCAATGGTACAAAGATGAGCTTCAGATGCAGAAGGGAAAGCATTTTAAAAGTCCTTAATATGGACTTCACATGACAAAGAATATACAGCAGTGGGGGAAGGAAGAGTCATTCAATGGATGCCTCTAGGTAATGCATTTAGTTTTTTAGAAGAAACTAAACCTCACCCTGTGTGCCCAAATAAATTGTACATGGTTAGAGAGTTAAATGTTAGAACAAGAAACTATAAATGTACAAAAAAACAACAACAACAAAGAAATATGATTTTGTTTTGCTTTCAATTCTGGGAAAAACCAAAGGAAAATGTTTAAAAGTATGATTATACAAACACACACAAAAAAATTTGCAGCATAAATAGTATAAAATGAAATTCTATTAGAGGTATTATTTTAAAATGCATTGTGTCATTCATTCTCACAGATATTTTTCTCAATCTATTGACACATGTGTGCAGTCAGACATAATCTCCATGCATGCTTCTTTCCATCCTACCCTCTTTAGAATGTACATGGAGCTAGGCTGGGAGTGATGTCCGCTCAGTGGTAACAGTGATGCGGAGGCTTGGGCTGATGTGTTGCTCTGTTTTGGGGTGTGTGTGTGTGTGTGTGTGTGTGTATTTTCCATGTTATGAGCTGCACTGTTTCTCTTGCAGGAGCTTAGTAATGAAGCTTGTCAGGCTTGGGTGTTGTTTTGTTTTGGGTAGGAATCCTAGTTCAAACACTTTTTAGTTAGATAACTTTGGCAAGTTACTTAAATTTTCTGAGCTGCAGTTTTATCATCTATAAAACTAAGATAACCAGTAATATGTGTCTATCTAGATTGTTGTTACAATTAGAGGAGATGCAAATAAAGTTCTAAGATAATAGCTAACATACATGATACCTCCAATAACTGGAAATTGTTTTTTGAAAAATCAGTTGTTTAAACTTGCTATAAAAATGAAGAGAGTGGCTAATAGAAGGATTATAAATGGCTAACAAGCATATAAAAAAGGTCAATCTCATTAAAATTGCGAAGTAAATAATATTTTAAAACTTAGGATGATAAAGTCTCATACACTTTTGTTAGGAGTTTAAATTGGTAAAGCCTTCTTAAAAAACAATTAAGTTATGTGGTAAAAATTTTGAAATGTTCATTTCATTTGAACCAATACTTTCATATATAGGAACATATACTAACACAATTACCAGAATTGTAAATTAAGTACTATGAACAAGAATGTTCATTGTTATCTTAATTACAGCAGCAAAAACAAAAAAGGAATAATAAATATCCTATATTAAAGACACAATTAACTAGATGGCATGCATCCTATGATGAATTAATTTAGTAAAACTCTCAAGTTAATAGAAAGCAACAAATAAGCTCTGTATAAAGAATAACCCAGTTATATCTCCAGAAGATCTAGAAAAACATACAATGAGGCTGAGAAGAAGAAATAGAGATGGTTTTATTTATTACTTTTTACCATTCTGAACTGTCTAAGATTTCTATAGTGAAACAATATTATTTTTATAAGCAGTAAATATTCAATTGATGTTTATAAGGACACTGTAAATGCATGGTAAATGTTCTTGAACAATAAGCTAAAAACTAACCACTGGAACAAAATTTATACCTTTTGTATATTTACAATAACTTATAGTATAATTTCAACCATGTTAAAAAAGTAAATTATTAACACAGAAAAAGTTAACAGTAAATGTCTTAAACAGTACACCTAGAGCTGATATCTTAAAATTTTAAATGTTCTATATTGGGTATTATAATACTCTTTATCATTAACTTTACTTAAAAATATATATGATTAAATGCATGTTGGGTATTCTGTGAAATGGTGGAGGAAAGGACAACAATGCCCTTAAGGAGAGAGAGAGAAGAGTGTAGCACAGAAGGTGTCTGCTTGCCCAGTGATGGCAGGTGCAACAGGGACCCTGAGATCAGAAGAGAAAGAAGCAGGGGTGCGTCCTAATGCTGGTCCTAGTATGATGCTTTCAGCCAACTTCTGTCACGATTTCATGTGTGACTTCCCTGTCTGGTTCCCAGCTGTCCTTGGCAGCAGTGGCCCTATAGTTACAGCACATAATGTTGATAGGAGTTAGAGGAAAGGGCAAGAGCTACTGGTGACACAATGTCACTACATACGCCCTTCTCCTTCTCATAAGGACAAGACTTCCTGTTGACAAGCAGAGGAAGGATGCTGAGGCCACGCAGGTATGTGAGTGAGAAAAATATGTTAAAAGATTCTGGTTCAGATCGGGGGAAGTAAGTTATTAGTAATTGAGACTAGCATACATTTGATTTAAAGAGCACTCCTTTTTAATGATTTTTTTTCAGTTTTCATAGATACTGCATTCTAAATTACATTTAGTTACAAAATTAAATGCCATTATAAAAAAAAAATGAAGGTAAGGAAGGAAAGATCATTTTCAGGAGAAAAATTAAATGCTGGTTTAATGCATTCTAAGGGTTACTTTTGCAACTACTGACAGACATAATGTGTTCATTTTTTTCAAAAATCTATTTCATCATTTATGATTGAATGAAATATGTGTCTGTTTTTGTAATAGCAACCTTGGCAGGAGGGTGACAAGAATTTGCAGCCAGCAAAGTGCCCATACTATGTAGCAGTCAGCATTACTGTCATTTCTCTTATTGATATCTTGACTCATATTACACAGGCATTTAACTCAACATCCAATTTCTAGCAAGGAGGAGCAGAGGTCATCTGATCAACCAGGATTCAATCCTATAGGCAAAATTAACATATTAATGTGATGGTCTGTTTTAGTTCAAATTCTTCTTTAGAATTCTCCTGAGGGCATTCCTGATGGTTAACAGAATTGTCTCACTTGCATTAACTTATTAATAAAGTACAACACCTTTTATATCAGACAAAAAATATTAAGTGCCAAGGCATCTTTCTGGTTTTGTTGTTGTTTTCCATGCGTGAATACGGGAAGGGGTGAGTTCTGAATTAAATAGAATATGCACCTTAAATCATGGATGAGCTCGTTTTATTTGGGCGGAGAGATCTGGTGGTATGGGCAAGTCAGATTTTAAGTGCGATCATCCTAGGCCAGTGATGGCGAACCTATGACACGCGTGTCAGAGGTGACAATCGAACTCATTTTTTTAGTTGATTTTTCTTTGTTAAATGGCATTTAAATATATAAAATAAATATCAAAAATATAAATCTTTGTTTTATTATGGTTGCAAATATCAAAAAATTTCTATATGTGACACAGCACCAGAGTTAAGTTAGGGTTTTTCAAAATGCTGACAGGCCAAGCTCAAAAGGTTCGCCATCACTGGCCTAGGCAATGGAATTAGAGAGTTACCTAAATTTGTTGTCATGTTAGGAAATAGCTGGATCCTGCTTTGCATAAAGATCTGAGATTGAGCTAGAGTTGAATCAGCCTCTTCAACTGATCAGTGACCTGTCGGACCCCAGACAGGGTCAGAATGAAATATGAAAGCATTCCAGGCTTGAGCAACCTGGCTATTCAGACACACTACCCTGGGGATCAGAGAAGTTACACAGAGGTTAGTGGTGCAAAGTCCTTGGGGATGTTGGGCTATGCTATGGCATTTACTAACTGCTACAAATATGCTGAAGA